AAAGAAACAACCGAACAAAAAACAACCAAAAAAAAACACCAACAAAGCAACAATTTAACAACCCCCCTAAAAAATAATTAATAATAATAATAATTTCTGCAAAACAACAGATTGGACGTTTTCATCTAAAATAAAATGATGTTTTCTCTGACAAGTTCGTTTGGTTATGTGCCCCATTTTTATTGTTGTTGTTGCTTAAACAGTAGAATCCTAGACTTAAGAACTGTCCTTTTATTACTGTAGGCCATGACCCTGGTATGTAAAGTCAATTCCACAGCGTACTCAGCCGATTCTAGAATGCTCTGTCTGAAGAGATCAGGGATGGTACAGGTGTAGATCTGTCCCCGTGGTTTTACGCACTTCGCATAATTTAGCAAAATTTGATAATTTTTTGCATAATTTCTGATTATTTTCCTTTATCATTCTTTTCTTAAAATTAACAGAATCGCATAATTTCACATTTTTGGGCTCAGTTTGCATAATTTCATAATTTTTCTTGCTTAAAACTACGGGACAGGTGTAGATATGTATACAGTAATTTATTAAGTGTTAGATCGAAGTCCGTGGCCCACATCACACCATGCACATCTCAAGTTTCCGTGAAACAGCCTAAGTCATAAATGACTTACTTGCAAATCAGTAACATTTTAAGAAAAACCTTTTGTTTTGCTAAACAGAGTCTTCATTGTAAAATTATAGCATTAACATAATAATAATAATTATATACCTTTCCCGTGGTTTAAACATTGTCGACTTTTATCACAAGGTTGAGTTAGGAATCTAGGAAAGGAGGGAGGGCGGATATATAGTTTCCTTACATGCAAAGCTGGAACAGTAAAAAAAATGAAGAGAAATTTGTTATCAATTTAGAAACACATTAGACTCTGACTCTACAGTCTAGTTAGATGGATAACGCGCCCGGGAGTAACCAAAAAGTCTACATAACTGTCTTTAGAGTAACTAAGCGAAAATAATTAATATTTTGGCAACCACAAAGAGGACTCTTTTTACACTAAACTGGTAGTACTGCAATACGCCACATAGTGATAGAATACTGAGAACCTGAGGAAATCAACTATCAACCTTGTTCCAGTGGCCAGTGGCAATGGTTTCACTTCCCAACGTTTTATTCCGTCATTTCTTCCAGAGTCTCTTTCTCCAACGAGTAGTTTATTGAGATCAGTACCCACAAGAAAAAAATAATTAAAGATTGTACATTCGCAGCATAGCAGGGATCTTGAAAGAGAAACTTCCAACCGAGGGTGACGAGGCAGGGATACCGACAGACACACACAAATGAATCCAGTTCGAAGATTGACGCTTGAAGGTCTGAGGAAAGTCGTCAAGCAGCGAGTCGATAGTAATGGATTTGAGAATTTGTTCAAAGAGGTAACGTTGTCCTTATTCTTAGTCTTTAGCTTAACATGTCCCAAATTAGCAAAGGAAGAGGGGAGGGGGAGATTCAAAAAGAACAGTGAAACCCCATCCAGGATTATGATTTTATGGAAATCAACATGACAGAATCTACCCCC